AAACTTCGCGATTTTCTCGCGAAGTTAATGTTATTTTTAACACAATTCTAATTACAATTGGGTCAGTTGTTTTACTATAATATTATGTCTGAAATAAGGCAAATAGTGCCGATTTGGGCACCGTTTGCTTCCATAATTGTGTAACTTGCTCTCGATTACATCTCTAAATAATTGTGCAAACTTATTCATGTAAAATTCCCTCAAATTTTAGTACTGGAAGAGGTTGATTTGGTTTGATGGGATGCCACAGTACAACAAATAGGCGATCTGCCGAGAGAAGGTCTTTGTATGGGGAAAATGGTGCCGCTATTTAGGTATTAGGCGCGAAGAAAAATCGGAAAACTCCACACTCCAACACGTTGTCAGGCGCGAACCCGCGACCAACTGCCAGTGTTCGGGGGTTTAATTCACTCGGCCATTAATTGCACTGAAAAACATTTTATAAGAACCTAATTGCGCTGTATAATTATACACTAAACTGATGATGATGTATTAATTCATGACGTTATTTATCAGAATTTCAATACTTGAAGCCACAATGGAAGAAATCTATTCCATTGTATAATTACTATACAAGAATTTGATACAGTCATCATCATCATCATCATCATCACTAGTTTGACTTTTATGAAACTTGTAGGTCTGTTGTCGCCTTCACTCCATTTCTTTATCGTGTTCTTCATTTGTAATACGACACATCAATATTTCAATAACAGAAGCAACAGTAGAAGAATCTATTGCACTATATGATTATAGCACCGAAGCGGCGATGATGATATTTAGTACTATGAATAAGAATATAAGAAACACGTGCAGATCGATAGAACAGGTTGCAAAATACACATTAAAAAAGTCATTAAATTGTTCATTATAATTATTCCATAGGCGACGAAAATGTGTAAACAGTTAGTCACACGCAATTTAGTTTTAAAAGTTTCAAACACTAACGATTATTGGATTGATTTACTTTATAATCAATACACAAAAACACAAAATAATAATAATTATATGTAAACTTTTGTAGTGATTAAGAAAATATTAAATTGAATAGTTTTTTATGTTTAAAATCGACGATAAACTTTCAGCATTTAAGGACAAACAAACGTACGTTCGTTTCGGTAATAACACAAATTTGAAATTCTGATTTTTAAATAAATTCCGTGCCCCATTTTTTAAAGAGTAATTTATTCGAAGAAACGTGTTTATTATTATCGATTTTACTTCCCTTTTTTTCTTTTTACTCATTATTTACAGTATTTAATTTATCAATACTTTTAATGAGGAGGTTCCTCTTAAAATTTACATTCTCCTTCCAAGTTTTTAACTCATTTAAACGTGTAATAAATTGTTTTAAACAACAATTTAGCTCGATATTTTATTATTTTATCGATTAAAACATTCAAAATTATAATTAAAATTCAGAATTCGCGATATTTACCGAGAGATAAAGGCGTAAAAATACTTTTTTTGTACTTTTTTAAGAGGAATTTTTAAATTTAATTAAAGAAAGAGCGAAATAAGCCTTCGTTACGTCTTAAAAAAAGTGTTTTTTAATATTATAAACATTTAATTTTTCTTCGTTTTTAATCAAACACGCTTGTTAATGATATCAGAATATAATCGCGCCGTTATGCAAATTAATCTACTTGAAAATTTGAATATAATTAAGTCGCTTAGAATTACAAATTTAAAATTAAATAAAAATTGTGTGGCAGCTAGTTAGAGGCTATTTTTTTCCTCCATTTAAATGAATAAATAAATGCAAATACGTTAATTTTAGTGATAGGAGGTATAACTCCTTTCCGCGCCATAAACCTAAACAATCTTACTGCTTCGACGATCATTTTTCGAGCGATTTGACAGGCAGACATCAGACGAATCGACAAAATACTAAATTTCGTATCCAGCTTCGTTTCTGGGATGACATTTTAGAGATTAGCACGAATGAGGATGATCGATCTTACCACGAATCGGGATACCACGAATGGGGATGATCCTTAAATTCGCCCGCTGGAAACTGAAAAATTCGAAATTTTATTTACACAGCAGCGAAGAGAAACACCTTAACTATTAAAAAAAATACACTAGGAAATTACATCACACGATACGTTTGAATTCAACAGCCGAAAAGACAAGAATTAAAGCCATTTTCAATATTTGCTAGATCACCATTGGTCCGTTAGGGTGATCCATCAGCATATCGACTAATCAGCTGGCCCGATACGAGAAAGGGTCATCAATCACCGAACTGTGGGAGGGGGGGTTAGACGTCCGATGCTAAGTTTTAAATCCCTGTTTGTGCCAACCTATCGATCTGTTTGCTAAATAGCAAGACGGCTCTCGTTTATAAATCACCTTCAGTATAACAAACAATTACGAGATGATCCGATAACTAGCAAAGGAATGGAAACATTGCCAAAATATTAAGTATTTTTTTCCTGATGGTGGTGATGATGATTTTTGACACATTTTTGTTTGCCTTCCCCCAACTCTAACGCTCTGAAATTTCTTATTTCTGGTTTTACATTAGGGAATTTAGTTGGCGAATTTCGGTGCCAAAATGGATTATCAAAAAAAAAGAACTATCTTTGATTTAATATCGTACAGGGTTAAATTAGACTTTATCCACACCCTAAAATTATAGGGTGTGGACCAGTTTCAAATTAACCCCCGCATTGGTCAACTTCTTCGAGGTTCGGACAGGATCCACTGTAATTTATAGTGGTCCATGCAGGAACCACTATAATTTATCTTGGGAAGTACGGGTCGCGCATCCTTCCTATCAATGGCTCCTGCTAATCGACCCATAATGGGCGTAATTGCGACCCTCCGTATAGATTACAATGTCTATTATAAATGAAATAGAATTATTATTTTTTATTTAGAATGAGCCAAAAGTCAGTTTACCATTGCAGTCCTATTCGAATAATACTCCAATTATAATTTTGTCACGGAATTTGCAGGGGAAAGCTTGTTCTAAACTCATATTCTTGTTCTCGAGTGTAACTGGGAATATACTAAACACGGTTAACTAATTTTTGGACCACTCTATAAATATGTACGGGAAACTGGGCGAACCTCGGATATAGAGAAAAGCCGGATTAAAGTGTTAGAAAGTAACAGGTTGGCAGCACTCTGCATCACGATTCTTATTAGTTACATAGTAATGGCGAATGTTGTTCATTTCGCGCGTTTTTTCCATGTTTCATGCAGCAAAAAACTGGCTGTTTTAGAAAGAATTTACTCTTTCAGTGTTTATCACAAGTGTATGAAATTTTTAGATGTATCTTTAAATGCTGTACTTTGTGCTAGTTATTTACCATACATCAAAATCTAGAATCAAACATGGCGATTTGGGACAATTGTGGACACTTTCTAGGGAGAACTCGAACGGATTTATAGTGTACGGAATTGTCTCGAGGTTCACTTTGTGATATTTTTAATCGGTTTTTATGGTAATAATCTACAATTTTAAATTGTTTAATCTCCTGACATGGCAATTGCAGCGATTTAATATTTGAAATGTTGATTTCCTTTTTTTTTTTTATAAATTGACAAATCTGTTGTATTTCAGTTTTTAATGAATATGCAGTGCCGTAACTAGCCATTCCTGTGCCCTGTGCAAGAATTTGCATTTGGGCCCCTTATTATTTTCTGAAACCTAATTAATTAAAACAAATATGTACATGCATTTTCGGCTCCCCTTCCAAGTGGGCCCTGTGCGGGTGCACTTGTTGCATCTGCCTAGTTACGGCTCTGTGAATATGTTTAATGAATTCAATTATATTTCATTCTTTATTTCCTCTGCCAAATTTTTGTCTTTTTCTGGCTAGTACCCGCGCTACAGGGGAATATTGCACACTACACATTTATCTAGTTTATTTTTGGGGGAAACCTCGTGAGATTTTTTAATTCCGTATATTATATAGTAGCCAACAGATTGGGATATCAAATCAAGCAACGAGTTGCTTAACTTTAACCCGACGACATTTGGTGGCGCCTCTGTCACGATAATTTATTAAAAAACTTTTTATTTTATTGATCAACAATTATAAAAAACTTTTTATATTTTTTAATTATTATAAAACGACAAAAAAAACTTAAATTTGAAGGTAGCGATGGGTTTTATAAAAAGTTGTAAGTGCTAATAAACGAGTAATAACGACACCCTATTCGGATATGACACGACTCCCTTTATCTTCCTCACCTCCTCGACCTTTAACCACCAAAATTTAATAGCATCAATCTCCTAATACACCAACCTCCTGTAAAATTTCTTGATGAATCATCATTTAAATGGTTCAGCGAGAAACAAAAGGTTTTTGGAATACCGATGAGGAAATGATCAGAATTAGTAGTTCTAAACGGTTCAACGAGGAAACAGAATGGTTTCTCCGAATTCTGATAGAAGAAACGATTGAAATCAATATTTAAACTTCTTCATTTCCTCACGTAAGCATGTTTTTTTTTCCATTCTAAGCGATGAAACGACCAGATTCTGCTCCCTAAATAGTCCAGTAAACTATCGTTTAGTACAGATTCTGGCAATTTTTATTCTCGAGGTTTATTAATTTCTCGAGAAAATAAAACGTTAGAATTGATGAAAATTCAGAGAGAACCCGAAAATTCTGGAATTACTAATTTAAACGGCGGAATAATAAATGATATTTGGATTCATCAATCCGATTTAGGAAGTGATCACAATAGCGAGAAATCGATACTTAATTAGGATCGCCGTTGATCGTGAACTGTAGATAAATTAATTTCTGACTAAACACTTCATTTTCTCCAAGATTCTATTCAAAATATTGCGAGAATTCAATTTTTTAAATGATAATTTTAATGTATACGAAACGTGCACCACAAGAAAAACGTCCCCTACGATTTAATTAATTTGTACGTAAATTTAATTCCATACAATTTATAAAAATAATGTTTTTTTGGATGATGTACAAAATAAATTAATAATAATAATTATAATTATTATTATTTATTTGCAGAATTTTCTCTTATTATCAAGATGGAGGTCCGGGTTTTGGGGGATCAAGATCACGAAGGTGAGTGCTTCTATTGAATTTTTTAAATATATACATACAAATTTGATATATATATTTGTGTATATATTTATTCTCACTCATTTACAACACCCAAATATTATTTGGAGTGATGTAAATGAGAGGAAATCCCCAAAAAATGGTGAGTTTTTCGTTATAATTTTTATAAATTTATATGTATTTTATTGTATTAAAGCCTTAATACTTTATATAATATTAAAGCCTTAAACTACTCAAAAGTTTAATTGTTTTGTAAATTTTCTGAATAAATTTACGTTTTATACAGAGAAACTCCTCCAGCGACCACCCCTCATTAAAGATCACTTCTGCTGGAAACCATTGGTGGTTTCAAAGTGGAGGTTTTATCGTAATTTTTTTCGTATTTTTAAATTAAAATACGCTTAGAGTGTATAATAATCATAATAAAATCCATTCCTAAAAATACATTTGTTTTCATCTTTCTGGTATTAAAATCCCGCAAAAAAAAAAAAAAAACATTCTCAAAACTAAGAATCCTTATACTAATATTCACGAGATTCCCCTAAAAACCCTCTTATTATATAATTACAACCGATTTAAATCTAAATTTAGTATTAATTATATATTATTAAATGAGATTTACCAGTAATTTTTGAATGGCGATAATTAATTTTTATAAATTTATATGTATTTTATTGTATTAAAGCCTTAATACTTTATATAATATTAAAGCCTTAAACTACTCAAAAGTTTAATTGTTTTGTAAATTTTCTGAATAAATTTACGTTTTATACAGAGAAACTCCTCCAGCGACCACCCCTCATTAAAGATCACTTCTGCTGGAAACCATTGGTGGTTTCAAAGTGGAGGTTTTATCGTAATTTTTTTCGTATTTTTAAATTAAAATACGCTTAGAGTGTATAATAATCATAATAAAATCCATTCCTAAAAATACATTTGTTTTCATCTTTCTGGTATTAAAACCCCCAAAAAAAAAAAACATTCTCAAAACTAAGAATCCTTATACTAATATTCACGAGATTCCCCTAAAAACCCTCTTATTATATAATTACAACCGATTTAAATCTAAATTTAGTATTAATTATATATTATTAAATGAGATTTACCAGTAATTTTTGAATGGCGATAATTAATTTTTATAAATTTTAAACTAGAGACGATTTTATTTAAAATAAACCTTAATTAACGATGCCCAACGATAAGCAAAAATACATTTTGGCAAAGACACGCAAAAAAAGAAAGATTTAGTATTTTTATCGATTTATTTTTCCACGTTTGTTGTATCTAAAGTCAATGATTATTCTTGCTTAATGACTTTCGGATAATGATAACTCTGTTAATTTGCAGGAGTAAGTCACTTTCTTTTTTTTTCCTTACACAGCATCAATTACCACTAACTTTACAAATTGACCTCTTCCTCTTTTGAATCTTCTTCCCTCTTAATTTTCCGACTAAAGAAAATGTTTTCACATAATTCACTATTTATGTTATGGTTTTTAATTTAGTTCTATACAAAAGGGGTAGAAATTGCTTTTGTTAGTTAGCTAATTAATTTACTTTGCTTTCGTTATCAGTTGCTAATATATCGTTGCAGTTGGAAAGTTGTAATGTGGGTGCTGTGGAGGCGTTTTCGTACTCGTTTTATATGCTGCCGAGCCCAAAATGGACACGGCTGGGTAGTGAAGATGGAGGCCCAACGTCTCGCCCATGAAAAATTCCGCGGGTCGCGTTTCCGACCTTGAAAACGGTTTGCAGATTTAATTTTGTCCCCTCTCTACCGTGCCTATCAGTGGCCGAGTGGATAAAACCCACTGAATACTGGACGTGGGTTCATACCCGGCCACGCGGAGTTTTTCGGGTTCTTCTTGTTTTAACACTTAAATAGAGGACAGTTTTTCCTTAAAAAGTCCAGGAAGCACACTCGTAGATTGCCCAATTGTCGCGTTGTCGTAAACATATAAACCAAACCAAACCACTCCTACCACCTATTTTCATTGTGACGGTGGATGAAACCCCGAACGCAATCAGTGACGGGTTCGCGCCTTACCAACGGGCTGATTAACTCGTTTTCACACTTAAATTGGGGTCGATTTTTCTACAGAAATTTCTCACGGCGGCACTCTCCCCTTTGGCACATCTCCCGCGGGTTGCCATGCTCCATCGAACCAAACTAAATTCAATTTTCACCAATTTTTCTTCCAATATTTTCCAGTTTTAGGAACAGAATATTGTTCGGGATATACGGACAGCTTCGGAAAGTGGAACACGGGATTCTACTGTCCAAATTTGGGAAATGGAGAGCCAGTATACTGCTGCGGTACTACCACTTACAAATACTGTTGCACCAAACGAGACGAAGAGCACAGGCCAGCAGTCGAGTGAGTTTTATTTTGATATTTTCCAGTCACTTTTAATTAATTCTTTACGGGATTAATGCCACTCAAGATAATTAATTATCGCCACGCTTATGATTACATCGATAATGGCTTCAATTGTCGATGAACGTGACGACCATTAAGTAGGCCATCTTTATTAATTGCAATTAAATTAAAAAAATTAACAATAATAATTTAATTCTAATTAATGGCGAATTCGATACGGAATTTTTTAATGGTATTTCTTCATTTTTCCTCTCTTAAAATTTCTAAAAATTCAAGTTTATGATTTTGTAGCGCCATTTTCTTACCAGTAATGATGATGATGCTAATTAAGAAATTGGTATTTAGATGTCAAATTTTTTATATTTTTTCAATGCAAACTTTTTAAATTAGCTTCTCATAACTTTAATGATTTTAAAATCCGGCTTTCCAGTGAAATTATTTTTTATTTTTTGATCCGCAAAATTAATATTCTTGGATATTAAACTAATGGAAAGGCGCTCCCTTTCTTCCTTTTTTTAAAGCAATTTGATTCATTTTTCCTTCTTATCTAAAACTTTTATTACCTTTTAAATTATAGGATATAAATGATTCTCATATTTCATTAATTTATCAAATAATTTGACGAGGAAATCTTCTAATTGAATATTCAAAAAAATTAATATATTCGCGTAAAATATCTCTCAAAAGTAGTAATAATTAATTGTTATTTTTACGGAAAAAATCTCGAATTTCTGTAATTTTATTTTGTATTTTTGATAATTCTGCATTTTTTTTATTCTGTAAAAGAGAAATTTAATTTCTTTGCTATCTCGTTGCAAATTTTCGTAATTAATCGAATTGAAGAATGGTTTTATCCAGAGAAGAATGTTTTTAATTCGTCACGGAACTTGTTTTCTCGCGAATTTTTAAATGATTAAAAATAATTTAAGTGATAAAATATTTAAATATAAATTTTCTGCAAACCTTTTTCTATATGTAGCGCGTGTTCGTGTGGTGATATCACGCTCCAATTTTGCTTCGTAGAAACCAGTGCTGCGGAGTCTGTAAAAACACTCGACTCCGACTCAACAGCCCTGGTAGAAACTTAAGCGCCCATTAGTGGCCGTGTGGATAAAACACCAAACAAACTGGTTGTGTGTTTACGCTTGCCCAACAGGCTGGCTACGTGGAGTTTTCCGGGTTTTCTTCACGTGTCTAACACCTAAATATTTGTCATTTTATCATAGAAGACCTTCCGGAAATCATTTTCCCTCTCGAAAGATCGCCCACGCGTTGTCATATACGAATAAATAAACCAACCGACGAAACTTAAATTTCGACTGTTTTGAGTCCATTGCTGGGTACGCTAAGGCACACACTACAGAACTGTGTATAAATGACAATAGTAATTATCCTCGTTGAAAATTGGTGTGAAGTTCCTTTGCAGTTAAGCGTGTTCTTCGACTAGATTTGGGTTTTAATCTTCTTAGAAAACAGAATAAACAATTTTTTTCCCTCTTAATTACGAATATTTGTAATTAGGAGGGAAAAAGATTTCTTCTTCGTAATTAAGAGGGGAAAAAATGATAAATTGGAAGATTGCAAAGCGCATTTTAATAACGAATCCTGTCGACAATATTCAAACTTGGGCCAAATGTTTATTTTCTTAAGAAATCCGAAGATGTTTTGTTAATATTAAAATGCTTTTCGAGTGTTTCTATTTCTGTTTTTGTTTGTTTGTTCTGTTCGTTCCAGATGTTTAGTTAACTTTTTTCTTGTTTTATTTATTTTGCGAGTAATCTAGAATAAAGTTTCGCTCCGCGACGTTCCCCTTTCTAATTCAATTTATTTGTTTATTTTCAACAAAATTGTTCGTCTTAATAACGTCTTTCCTACAAATTTTGAAATTATTTTTTCCAAATCATAAAATTGCTAATTTGAATAAAATGGATTGGTTTTAGAAGCTGTGCTTATCACAAAGTCAAAAATTTCGATTTTTTTATAAACGTTTATCAAAATAATCTAGTATTAGTGTATTGTAATCCTCATTCGTTGGTCTCTATATGTCTCGGCCACCAGTGGCTGAGTGGATGAAACCACTAAACACTGATTGGTCGTGGGTTCGCGCCTGGCCATGTGGAATTTTCCTGGCTTTCTTCGCGTTAGTATCACCTAAATAGGGCCAGTTTTCCATAAAAAAAACTTCCCGGGAGGCATCCCCCTCTGCAGATCGCCCACATATCGCGTTGCCTCAATGAATAAAACCAAATCGGTGTTAGCATTGAAAACCATCTTCCTATTAAAACATTTGTCCCCAGTCTACGGTCTCGCTATGTCTCGGTCCACCAGTGGCCAAGTGGTTAAACATTGGTCGTGGATTTGCGCCTCGCCAACGGTTGGCCACGTGGAGGTTTTCTTGTGTCTAACACCTAAATAGGTGCTAGTTTCCCGTAGAAAGTTCTTCCGGGAGGCATCCCCCTGTTCAGATCGGCTACGTGTTGCATTATCTCGCGTACTATCAATCCATCCCAACCCTGTCTCGTCTTCTTAACTCCTGTTTTCTTTCTGATATTCTTAATTCTATGGCCTCTTAGTGACATTCTTCATTCTGTTCTCTCCGTACAGTATCATTCAACGACCTTGTGACCTCCTAACGTTGGGCGCCTTCTCCATATCGCACCCTCCTTCACTCTGTTGCCCCCATATGGTTTTATTTTTCACTCTATGGTAGCTTCATACTGTGTCTTCTTCATTCTACGATCTTATAACATTCTTTTCTCTCCGATTTCCTTATTGTATGTGTTCTTCTTCCACCGCTTTATGGCATTTTTCTGCGCTCTAGTTTTATGACATTACCATTTCATTTTATGGTCTCGTCAAATTTGATAGCATTTTATTGTTATTATTATTATAGATTTTTGATCCACTTTGCTGAATTATACGAAACTATAATAAACCATGTTGTTTCTCGAAGAAGAATGAAGAACGGGTGAAATGTTGTTTTAAAATCATTTTTAATCGGAATAAAGGAGTGAAGACCATTTAAAATTTAGGCAAGACCTTATACTTATTCTGTCCCAAACCAATGTTAAACGTGAGTTTCAATGATTAACGAAGGGAGGAAATTTTGTTATTTGGATCAAAGTGAGATCAATTACATCTTTATTAGGTAATTTGCTGGAAAGGCAGACGTTACGATATAATTTACTTCTATGAAGATCTGTTCTGTAGACGATTACATTTATTGTCGTAGATTACGTCCAGTTTTTTGTTGTGTCAATGGATTCCTGCTAAAGAAAGAATTTATTATTATTTTTTTATTTTAACGTTACTAAAAGTGATTTAAAAATTAAAAGATTCTTGTATGCAAAGCTCCATTTTGCGTTCTCATAATTCATAAGTATATAATATGCGAATTATTTAACGTTTACGCGTTGTTTTTGTTCTTGTCTCAGACGTTTTTGGATTGCATTCTTAAATTCCTTGTTTAATTAATTTTAAGTTTAGAAAAATCTTGGGCTTTTAGCAACGTGCTGTTGAATGATGTTAATGAATGGATGCGAGTGATTTTTTATTCTGTAGACTTCTTGTGTCAGTTCTTCGTTTTGCAGTCTCCTTTTGGTATTTTTCCTTCGTTCTGCCAGCTCTTTCTTTCGTTCTGCCAGCTCTTCTTTCGTTCTTTCGTTCCTTTCGTTCTGCCAGCTCATAAAAGATATGTCTCCGTTCCGCTGACTCCTCGAGGTACGTTTCCTTCGTTCTGTTTACTCCTCGTGGCAGTCTCCTTCGTTCTGTTGACTCCTTATGGCACGTCTCCGTTCGGCTGAGTCCTCATGGTACGTTTCTTTTGTTCTATAGTCTTACTTTTCATTCATGGCATATAAGTAAACATCTCAGAACTAAAAAACTTCTACAGTAACATCTTTAAAGAGCAAAAAATTTAATCACGTTTAAAAAGATTTCTATCAAAAAAAGAAATCAGGAGCGATAAAAGATTAGTAATAGTAGACAAAATAAGCAATTTAAATCAAATTTAGGGATGGTTTTTAGGCTTATCTTTCGTGGATACGAAATGATGAATGCTCGAATGAATAAGCACCAAGTTAGAACTAGGAAATTGCAAAAAGAAAAAAAAAACTTGTCCAACGTCATTAGTGTTATTCCACGAAACGGCCATATTTTCGGTCGATGTGGTGTTCATTCGATTTCCAACGATGAAACGGATGTACATTTTCTAAATGGAAATTTAATGGCTCCTTTAAACGCGATTTGACTTTTGATAAGGAAATTCTTTATAAAATAAACGTATACCCGAAGACCCAACAATTTGGGATTTTTAGTGTTAAGAAAATGTTATTAAAATGTTCCGAAATTCTAATCTTTCTGGTTCGTAATCCAACGAATTTCTCTATTTCTTCAGCTTCCCACGGGCCTATTTTAGGAATAAAAAATTATAATTTTGTCGCTTATGACCGTAATAAAGGTCCTATTCATAATAAAGGTCATTCCCCTTAATTAGACTCCTATTTACGTGCGTATTATACGGGGAAAAAGTTTGATTGGGAATTCTTGCTTGCTGCAATATCAGCAGCAAGCAAGAATTAACTAAAGATTACTCCTATAAAGTGCTAATTAGATCCTACAGGGCTTTATAATCGTTAGTGATCTGTAACTATACACGTGATCTTAGTTAAGGAGCGTATACAATAATTGATAAGGCTTGTTACGTGATGACCCCAATTTGGAACCGTTTTTTCAGGAAACGAAACGAATTAACGATTGTCTTCCTTCTTACATCATCTCGAAAGTTTCTCGAGTTTTACTTTCGAGAGGGAAAGTGTAGCAGATTCCATCAAGAATTTATCACAATGAGTCATATTGATCACGATCAATGACAGTTGTAATTGCGAATCCGTTACGCGTGGACGCGTTACTGTATTTCGAGGTACCACAAATTATTGATTGATTTATGAATGTCCTCATTAAAATCATCGAAAAAATCCCGGAAAACCATGCGTTACGTAGCCTAAATAAAGTTAATGCAAGAAGCTGCACGTGAAGATCTTAAAAAAAAAAAGAAAAAAGAAATTCAAACTTTTTTGATGTTCGGCTAGTGTAAGATAATGAAAACAATAGTAAATTACGCAAAAAAGCTGTCAACGCTGTTACTATTCTTTCCCGGCATTCTTTGTTTTCGTTCCTAATACACGTAATTGCTACCATTACGTTTAAGTCTTCAGACTGGTTTGGGAGATATTTAGGGGAATGGGCCATATCTCCCGAATCAACGGTCAGATTTTTTTTGAAAATTTCTAGAAACGTTTCCCCCTAATACCCAAATCTCTATGTAAAAATTCAGAAGTTTTCGAAAAAAGGTACAAGAGTTATTAAGTTTTCAAGTGCGCGAAAAAAATCATGTCCCCCACACACTAACATCCAACTTTTTTGGCATTTTTCAAGGATTCGAATGCAAAAAATCCGAGGGATCATTTTTTTACCGATGGCCACACTTTCCTTCTGTTAACGAAGTATTTTAACAGTTAAAATCGGACGATTTTAACTGAAAACTCGGATTAGATGACATTTTGATCATTTTTAGACATGGCGCACCCATACTTTTTCGATTTAAAAAAAAGTCTACTGAAAGTTAACAAATTACTTAAAAAGTCACGTTTTACAGAAAATTTTTCGATTCGTGACCCGCAAATATTCAATTTATTCATATTTGAACGTGAGATTTTTCAGGAATTTCATATTTTTAGATACAATTTAATCCGATTTGAATATCAGTTTATATTACGAATTAGAACATAGAATTTATTATAAATGTTCAACGTTACTCACGTTCTAAATGGAGAAGAATTAGAAAAGATCGTGAGAAACGTGATAAATTACATAAAAATGTCCGCTGCAGGCCATAAAAATATTATAATTTATAAAGCATACGGTTTGCTGATAAAAATATCATTACTTCTCATATTTACGTGATGAATAGATTGTTTTTTGAAATTTAAAAAAACAAATGGACATATTTTAAGTTATGGCACGAGAATGAATAATTTATTGGATCGTCTACGTACCGAATATTTAAGGTATTTTTATATTTAAAATAAATATCTTCAATCCGATCGGACGTAAAGAAAAATCTAAAAATATCCAAATATTTTAAAGGGTATTTTGAAACAAAATGTCGTCGTATTTCCATCTCTAAATTGAGAAAAATTACACTTAAAATGTTTAAAATGCTTTAATTCTTTCATATACCAGAATGTTGGAGGAATTAGAGGATGTAAACAGAGAATACGCAAGAATTATATAATTATAGAAAGAGAATACAATCAGAAAAGAATATAATTATAGAGAAAATATTCAGGGAATTAGTACTTTTCTCTATAATTACAATATTTTGTTTCCTGGTTGTATTCTCTCTACTTCTATAATTATATCATTATATATATGGATATATACACAAACCCTTCTAATTATATAATTCTTGCATATTTTAGTTTCTAGTATAGTCTATAAGAAATTTTCTAGTAAAGTAAAACCTGTGTAAACTGGAATCGCATCGTACCGAATATTTTTTTCCAGATTAGCACGGGCCCTTTTTAACACAAAATCGCTCCGTTCCAAACATGTTTCCGTTTTAGACAGGTTTTACTATAGTAATTCCTTATAGACTTTCTTAAGCTACAGAATAAGACAATTAACTCCTTACAAAGTTCACATTTTAATTAATATACAGTAAAAACTGTTAGAAACGGAAATCCGCCTAAACGAGAAGAATTCTTCGGACGCAGCGGTTTTGTGTGTTAAAAAGAATACTTGTTTAAAAAACCGGAAAAATATTCGGTAACGTGCCTGTCCGGTTTACATAGATTTTACTTTATGCTACATTAATCAATCCTGTTGTTCTACTTTTCCCAGTGAAAATATCAATTTGAGACAGTAAAAATCTGCAAGATTCGAATAATTTCTATTGTTGTTTCGCAAGACAGCAGCATAATGCATTTTTTTTCGTGCAACATCATTAAAATACATCTCAAACGAGACAAACTTGGAGGGAATCGAGCGTCGAACTTATTAAATAAACTGGAAGAAGAAGTAGAAGAGTAGCTGCGCATTATATATAGAGAAACAGCATCCCGGATAGAAAATGGGAGGAATTTTTTTTTCCTCCTAAGAGATTTACAATCGTTGTTACTTTATCTTAAAAAAACCGCAGAAAAAAGTATAAAATAAAATAAAATGGTTGGCTTCTCTTCATACAATTTCTTTGTTTCGAATCTCTCGACGAATTTGGATACCGTACTCGAGTTAATCAGGGATGATCGTTTGTTTTTAAATCTACTCTCTGCATTTTTCATTTTAATGAATATATAATACTTACTTTTTAACTTTCTCGTCCTTCTCTCTCTATATAAAGTCAATTTAAATCAGTTTTTTAATGTATATGTAATCGTTTATTCCAAGAGTAAAACTCTTAAGCGGACAACATCCATATTGTTCTCAATGGCAAACAGAGAAATGGCATTTAATTCTTTGCGAAATGTCGAAAAATTTCATCAGAAATTAATAAATCTTTTAATATAAAAGATAAATTATACACAGTGAACCCTGTCCCAAACGGAAACCTGCCAAACCGGTACCATACCAGTCCGGTTTACGCAGGTTTCGCCGTAATGAATTAATATTTCGCGTTTATTAATTGGTCTGGAGCGTGGACTACTAATTTGGGAGGAAGATTTAGCAGTGTGTACGCTTCAAACGGTTAATTTATTCCGATGGACCACTAAATGGTTTCGTTATCGAATCCATCAATGGATCATTTTGTCTTCAAATAACAATGAAACTTACAATCGCTCGTTTCGCGCGTAGTCGATCACAATAATTCTCTATCTCGTCCTCCGATTTCCTATTTTTGGGTATTTTCTTTTATCGATTGTGATAAATTCTTAACATTTTGCTCCAATTTTCCAATTTCTGATCAATAAATACATCCATTTTTATCGACGGTTCCGAATAATTTGTGTCGTTTTCCGCTCCTCTTCGAGTATCCATTAACTGATGACAAAACTTGAATGAAGTTTCCTCCTCTACGCTTTGACAGAAGCAATATTTTGCTACTTTTCCAAAAATTACATTTAACAGTTAATTGGAATAATGCTCCATTTACTAAATATTGAACAAGTCATGTTAATTTATGCTCAACTTAGTGTTTTAATTTAATTATTCTTTTATTTTAGCTTACAAAGAATCCTCGAGCTTTGATTTGAATTTTGCTGAATGGATGTCTCCCTGTTAGATTATTAACACATCATATCGAGCTTTGATTTACATTGCACATACACACAGACGTTCGGTCGATAATTTAAAAAGTTCGATCCACATTCTTAGTGTTTATTATTTCTTCATATTTTATCAAAGTTTGAACCTAACTACAAATAGTTATAGAGTAGAGCGTCGTTTATTCAAATCAATTGGGGACTGGGGTTGTTCGGATAACTTATTTTTCGGATAACCAATTATGTACGAAAAAATACATTAACCTATCCCATGTTGAAATTTTTCTCCGTTGCGAGTCGCTTCGCGTTGAATTTTCGTCGATGTTAAGCCTAACGTAAACTTTTTAAAATAATAATCGTGGCTATTGTATCGTTAAAAATTATTTCTTTATTTTGTACAAACAAAATAAATATATTGAAAAATATAAAAACAAAAAAATTATACTTTGGAAGTTAATCTAGTATCAAAAACGTTCGTTTCAGCATGACAGTCCTGAGAAAAACACCACACAAATGTGCCAGTGCTGCCAGCTAAAAAACACACATCAACAAAAAAATATTAAAGTAGCCCAAGATATAGCCAAAGATTGCAGCGCCACAGCACTACCGAAAATTTAAATTTGCCGACTGGAATTCTTTCCGATAACCAACTTTCGGATAAACGACGCTCTACTGTATATATGTAATTTCCAATTTGGAAAGTTTGTACTTGTACCGAGCGTTCTTTTATGGGTCCTTTATTAAAATAAAAGTAATTTATATATAAATTTACCTTAATAAATTATATATTTTTATAATTTCAGTATCATTTCAAAAACCGTGCAGCTCGTTACGTGTCAATCGAATTACATTAAAATTTCAAATTAGACTAAGTACGATAGCAAATTACAGTTTTCGCTGGTGGCTTTCGGTTAATAAAATTTAATTTTGTGTAAAATATCTTAAACTTTACTTAAATTATCCGCTTTCTATAAGAATCCCTTTTAATGCGAGAAGTTTAGTGCAAATACAAGTAATAAATTGTCTACACCCAGTCGATAATTGGAAGAATCGCCATTTCCCGTCTGACTAATACGGGGCTAACTGTATTAGTCATCGACTTGTATCGCAGCCAATAATTTATTTAAGTCAATTGAACTTATATATTAATGTGTTCTAAATATGGTATTTTGCTCGAGGCCAGTATACATGAAAAGGAATTTTAAATAAATAATAATTACAGTATCCTTTAATTCCCTGCCATTTAATTAAATTGTCTTTTTTGAGCCAACTCTGTGAAAACCAAGAGAATTTACACTACAGGAATTTTGGGCATTCCTATACTGTGAATTCGTTTCTATATTTATTATTATTGTATAAAATAGGCATCTTCAAACTAGACTTTATTTACTTTTTCAGAAACAATGCAAATTGCATTAATTTATCTTTCCATAAACAAAATTATAATGCATTCTTGTACTATTGGGTGAATTTTAATGTAGTAAAGATTGGAGAAAACCATCAGAAAGGGACACCACATGATTAAGATGTAGAAGTATCATAACGTTCAAATACATTGGATCTCCGAAAGAGTTAAATTATAAATAAAAAATGATTATTTTCCGTTGAAATTAAAGCATTTTATAAGTTGTGCGTATGATTTTCAGCCAGACTGTTTTATTGGGCATTGTGTTGGGAGTCTTGTTGGCCGTGGTGCTGGTCACGCTGGTGTCCTGTTTGGTCTGTCGACGCTGCCTTCACTTCGGACGTCGTCGACCGGCGGTTAACGGAGGTATGTGGTATTTTTTTCTCTCCCTGTAACTTCCTAATATATATTTATAAGTAACTTTAACCAATGTTTTTCCTTCTTCTTTGAAATATTCCATTACTTTTGCTAATATCATGATTAACGAGTGAAGGTAATATCTTGTGAGAGACATTAAATCAAGTAATGTCTCGAAACCGATATTGGTAAAGACTACAGACAATGATTTAAATAAAACGCCTTGGTAAAATACTCAAAGAGTTTAACATTTCAGGTCCATTGTATAGAATGCACTGCAGCAGCACGGCCAGTGGTGTGGCCAACATGTACTCCTTTTCAGGACAGAACAGTGCCGTGACGACACCGATAGACACCAGTGAACCACATGTACTAGTCAATCTAGACTGTCACCATCCCAACATCTCCAATCAGTTACCCGTGTTCGGCACGACGGCGGCTGACGCGTCTCATTTGGAAAGTATGATGAATATTGTTTCAATTATCCAAGGTGTGTTGTAATTTCTTTCAGATAACGTATGCTGGAATTTTGAATCCAGACATATGTTAGTCTGAAGGATTGCAACAGATTCATATCTTTTTATTGTAAAATTTTAAAAGTAATATGGAGTAATGTATAAAATGTTCTCAAAATTCTTTCTAAATCATCATCATTTAAATGTCTACTTGAAAGAAATTTTAAGCATTAAACAACTTGCTTTGGGCTAAAATTAAGTTAATTTAATAATAAATCTGCCTTGTAGATAAGGTTAGTTATTAAAAATAACCTGTAAAGATTTAACCGCAGCCCAATTTTATTATACAGGGTATATTAAAGTATAATGCTTTAGCCCACTCTGGAGACAAGAGATAAATATCTCTATATAGAATTTTGTCAATTGACCTTATCTTGACACAGGAAAACTATGGACAGAATTTCAAAAATAGATAAATTTTTTCTCTGTTAGTGATCTGCTATAATGACGACCACTGTTGCAGTAGCAGGATCAAGTAACAGTAGTTGCACCACAGTCATTGAGAGAGAGACGGTCTAGCGCAGGCATGACCAACATACGGCCTGCGATTAATCTTTCAATATTAGCTACTCAAGTCAGAATAGATTGGTGAAAAATTCTAACATCTAAGAAAAAAAAGGTCAACAACTCTCTGTCCAGTTAGAATTAACCCTCCATTACAAATCTCTTAAGTACAGCGTAGAATGTTGATAAAGCACAATAATGTGAAAAATGTATCTGTAATCTCTATGTACAATTTAGTCTCTACAGGGTGACACCACAATGAGATCTCGCACCACCTCAAAATCTTCCTAGGTCATCCTCTGGTTCGGCCCGTGAAAAAAGTTTTCTTTCCAATTTGGCCTGGGGCAAAAACTGTTGGTCACCCCTGGTCTAGCATGTTTGAAAAGACCAACTGATTGCCCTTTTCTTGCCAAATGTCTGCTCGTTCACTGATTCCACCTTGTAACTTTTGGTTTCGTGGCTATTGAAGAGCAAGGTTTACAAGCAGGTGGAGTTGTGGATTTATCAGAATGAACAAGTGAGTTGAAAGGAAAGACAGTCTTGTTATCCTCAGCATGTTGCTAATGTAACTCAAGTAGCATAAAGCACATTTAACAATATCTTTGATGCTGCTGCAACAGTGGTACAGTACCTGTAGAGGCCCTTAGAGTGACAAAAATGGTTACATTTTTCATAGTTGTCCATAATTTTCTCATGTTGAGATAAAATTTTAAAGGTGCATTTAACATTTATCAATCTTTAACAGTTTTGTCTCCAGAGTGGTCTAAAGTGTAATACTTTATAGATACCCTGTATATTGCAAGTCATTGTATGCACTAAATTAGGATTATTTTACATCATTTATACATGTTAAAAAATCTGTCATCATATTATATAGACTAAATTTCTATAAAATTCTTATTGTTTTTCTGATTTTAGTTGTATTATATTAATTATGCATCCTGTATTAGGTAATCCTCACGGAGCAAGACACATGTTTTATCATTCTATTGTGCCGCAAGAACCGCCTCCACCGTACCAGATGAATAACCCAGTCTCTTCGGGATATAATGAGCAAGAACCTTCAAATGCTGCATCTATCTCTAATCCGTCCATTACTAGGTAAAGTATGTGTTAATTTTTTTTACATACAAGAATTTTTGAAGTAATTTATATTTTTATATTAAATAGAAGACTTGTAAATCATTATGATTAGTAAGTAGTAAATATTCTCTTAAAGAAAATCTGAAATGACCATTTTGTTTAATGTAAATTATAAGTTATGATGGTATATGTTAAAAACAAAATTCGGTAGAGTTGCTATAATCTGACATGTCAGTCCAGTGAACTGAATGTATCATATTAATCATGATTGTTGCTAATGAGGTTGGCAAAACAGTCACAAATAATTAGAGACTGACAGCATACATTAAAAATTTCATGTGTGCTATCCTGCAGAGTGTCAGTTTACCAGATGTGATGAACTGTAGAGACTCTACTACACTTAAATAACTGCGATTCTTGATCTAATTTTATTCAAAATCTGCTATGTCATTGATCTTAGTACAACAGAGCCTTACATATATATTTATATATACGGTGTAAATTTGGCACCATATACCAATGTATATGGTGCCAAACTTCACAATTTGTATAACTGCTAATTGAGAAAACAAAACATTTTAATGGAGTCAAAAACATTTCTTAAATTCTTCAGTTTGGATGGAATCAAAACATTTCTTTAAATTATAAATAATAAACTTTCCAAAGCCTGATATGTTTGATACTTGACCAAATGATCGCAGTAATTATTGCCCAATTAATTACGGCAATCATTTGAGATTTCTTAAGTTTTTGGTTCTTTTGATTAGCAGTTATACAGATTATGACATGCATTTTTTTTCACTCAGCTTTACTTGTCAAAATACAGCATTAAATGTGATTGTGTATGATTAAACAGAATGCATTTCATACAAAATTTCATTTTATTGAACTTCAAAGTTTTGGCCGCCTAAGTTGATGACAAACCATTTTAATGAATTTCATGATGAACTCAGGATATTTTTCTTCTAATTTTCAATTAGAGATTCAGACTATGTACAAAAAATTATTTAATTTTTGAGTCTATCAATTCATCCTTTTTCATACACCATAGAAGTAGCCTTTACATTGGTTTGAATGTAAAGGCTATGTAAAGGCTACTTCAAACCAATGTAAAGGCTACTTCTATGGTGTATGAAAAAGGATGAATTGATAGACTCAAAAATTAAATAATTTTTTGTACATAGTCTGAATCTCTAATTGAAAATTAGAAGAAAAATATCCTGAGTTCATCATGAAATTGTAACTGTATGCAAATCAAAGATAACTCGTATCCACCACTAGAGGGCTTGAACCTGATACAGATGGTATAAAACTTGGCAGTTGGTGAGAAGATTTACTTAATTTTTAATTAATGTTAAGGCGTCAGATACCTAAAATGAAAGGCTGACGTCTGATCGTTTTTAATTGTAAATTTTTACCTATTGTTATATGTTTTTATGAAGTGATTTCTTCAAACCAATGTAAAGGCTACTTCTATGGTGTATGAAAAAGGATGAATTGATAGACCCCATTTTAATGAAGTTTTAGGGGATGGTCCACTCCCATCCTCTCCACCCTGAAACTCAATAAACATATAATAATTAAGTCCCATATTTTATTGATTTATTTTCTCTCCCTAATCTTGTAAAAATATTAAAATTGTAATGCATTTTATTGGTCATTTTTCAAAAAATAAAAGCTCAATTTTTTTGTTTTTAAGAAATAGTTATATTGAGCTGTAGAGTTGGTACACAAATCTTCCAACACTTTTATGAAAACTCAATGAATATTTATTAATAATGGTAAACAAAAGCACGCTTACAGACTTATAACCTATGGTTAACAGCTAAGTGTAATTATATTATAGCTGTGCTTTAATGACCTTTTTCCTGTAGTTTTTATTATTGTATTAATAATAATAAATAACAGAAATTACATACAAAATTAAGATACTGAATATTTGACAGAGTAAAATTATTCTACAAACAGATGATTTTGTTAAGATATAAGAATTATTCAAGTAATGGGTTAAATTTCTTAAAAACTTTAGAAAATGCAAATAACTATAGAAGTTATCAATGAAATAGCTAATTTTTTTAAAAATGTTATTCCATGTGCTACTTGGAATATCTTCAAAATAAATTTTTCAGTCTATAAACTTTAGATACTTTCTGCACAAAAGCCATAGAAGGATAAGCATGGCAAATTGACCCCAGACAGATACTTTTGGGCCAACTTTCATCCCTTCATCTGTCTGTGGTCAATTCACCATGCTTATCCTTCTATGGCCTTTTGAAATTATATAAAACAATTTCTAAAATATATTTTGGATATTTAAAAATTATTACAGTAGACCCCCCCCATAACACTGTTGATAATTCTGTTTTATATGAATTCCATGTTGTACAAGTCCTAAGTGACTCGTACAACATGGAATTCATATAAAACAGAATTATCAACAGTATTATAGGGGGTCTACTGTATTTATCTATAAACTTCTTTAATATCAGTTTCTTTATATTTTAGAAGAATATTCATTACTTACACTTATTTAAACTTGAGATAAAAAATAACTTAACAAATGTTTTAAAACATTTGATGCCAATGGCCCTTTGGAATGTCCTACATTGTCTCACCCAAAATGCTGAGGATGCTCACATCCTCAAAATTCGATTATGTTATTGCTAAGAAAATTCTTATAAACATAAAAATAAGATTGTTTTTATTGTTTATCAAATACAGTACTTACGTGATAGGTGGGACCGAATGATAACTGCATAAGTCGAATTCGCGTAAGTTGGGGTATAATTTCACAATTTGTGTAAAATCCAAGTTGGATGTATGTAAGCTAATAAATGTTCTCATTAATCTTATCTCATCTTTTGATTCATTCACGGTTACAAGAAATCACCACATAGTCTCTCAAGTCTCTGTAGATATAACAAACACAAAATAAATTATAGCTATGCGTCGATTCTGCTCGACACGTCTGAACATGTAAGCCGAACAATAGTGTAGTGGGAGTGAGTAATCAAGAGTTGTGTGGCGCTCAAACAAAAGATGAATTGACAAGATTTGAAAATCGCATAACTCCGAGTTTGCGTAAGTCGGGGGTAGCGTAAGTCGAGGTATTACTGTACTTCAAAATCTATTCATTGCATTCTTCTTTTCTTTTTTTTCTGCATATTGGTAGGGAAGTCTGTTTTTTTGATACAAACATTGAATATATTACAAAGGTAAAACTGAACTATTGTAATGGAGTTCTTTCTGAATTCTTTACTTCATATTGAAAATAAAAATTATTCTATTGTTTTTCTAATAACACTATATTTATAAAAATATTTAATTTATACAGAAATTAAAACAAATAATATAACAAATTTTTCTCTTCATTTAACAACAACAACAACCAAGATTAAAGTCACTATATTTGGGAGTAACATTTAGATAAGTTCTAATATATAGTAATATTTTTAGATTAATGAAATATTCCTTTTTAGATTCATTTTTTCCAGTAAAAATGTTGCAATGATAAAAGTAATCACTAACTGGAATAATATATGAAGATATCTATTGTTTTGATAATCAAATTTGCAGTAGTTCTTCAAAGATATAAACAGAGGGAATTTAATGTGTAAAACATGTGATAGTTATCAAATTATTACTAGTTTATAGTAATGAAGACATAACATTATAAAATTTTCTCAACCAAACATGGTCCTTAACTTCCCCTTCCTTGTTTTCTGGAGGAAAAACTAAGACATTTCTTAAAACATTGTCATAATTTAACTTAAAAATTGCCAAATATAACTGAAACACACACAAATTTTTCAATTGTGATCTGATGAGTCAAACATAAATACCACAGACAACTCAATTACAAGAATTAAGATAAAATGTTACTAATAATCATATGGTTTAACACAGAATTTTATTTGATAACATCAGTAAAAGTGCACAAATTAAAGAAATCGTAGGTGACAAAAAACTTTGGACACTTTTAGCAATGACAGAAAATACCTCTGGCACTACTTGTGTGGCGCTCAAACAAAAGATGAATTGACAAGATTTGAAAATCGCATAACTCCGAGTTTGCGTAAGTCGGGGTAGCGTAAGTCGAGGTATTACTGTACTTCAAAATCTATTCATCGCATTCTTTTCTTCTTTTCTTTTTTTTCTGCATATTGGTAGGGAAGTCTGTTTTTTTGATACAAACATTGAATATATTGAATATATTAATTAGTAATTTTAGCAGTTGAATGAAAATTTAAAATTATATGCCAAGGATGACCAAACCTTATCATAATAAGAGCCATACATAGTCTATCTAATAGTCTATATTATTGTACAAAAATTAAACATTTATGTACAATAATATAATATAATATAGGCATAAATAGCAATATTCATTAGGTGTAAATTAGTAAAAGAAATGGTATCTGGAAAGCAATAAGCTGTAATATTTCAGAAATAATCATAAACTTTCTTGAAGAGAGAGAGTTCTTGCAGCTACAAAGCTAAAAATTGACAGATCAACAATTTTGATATTAAAAAGTGCAACAAAACTGGTAGCATTGACCCAGGATGATTGAAAGCTGCTACAATTTTTCAATCATGTTCTTGTGTAAAATTATCAAAGAAAACTGGTAAGCATCCCATACAGAATTGATAATTGAATAGAATGCAGCCAGTAGTAAACAACTTACTAAAGAGACTTATCAAGTTTCACGTGATAAGATAATAGTGCATTTATGTCAGCATGAGAATAGAATGTTTGTGTCAACATGTGATTTTTCTTTTACTGCTAAGAAAAATTCCTGTTAACTAAGCCTCAAATGAAAACTTACATGAAGTGAGGAAACAAGGTTTAAAATTGAGTGCAATAGTAGTGGAACAGGACTGTTTCCAGCAATAAAGCATAGTTGGAGGTTTTTGCATTGGGAGCAACAAAAAAACGTGATCCAAAGAAAGTATAATTCTTTTATCTTGTGTTTTAATCATATAACAAAGTTCCCAGAAATTATGGTACTATAGAGTTGCATGTCTTTAAGATCTTGGCACTCTGCAAACCAGAAAAAACATCAGCAGATCTTTTGGCAGTTTTTTCATGTATGGAAGAAAGCTTTCTTAAAACAGGGCATGGCTTGCAAATCACATTATTAATATGTTGTGTTGACTATCTAATAGTCTATATTTTTTTCCATTGAAAATCTATGGAGAAAGATCAACAGACTGTGACTGCTTATGTCAAAAAATCCAGGAAGTCTAGGATGGAATTACTCAACATGAGTTTGTCATGCTTCTATTAATACAATGTGTGAATGCAGTAATATAGGCAAAACGCAATGTAACTAAATACTAATCAGCAGTGTCAAAAGTTTTTTTTTTGGTCACTTATGCTTCACTTAAAGTATTTATTTCTTTAAAAATGCAAATTCTTGCATTAATTTTTTTGTGTTATTTGTTAATTAAGGTCATGATTTAATATACAACAATTTTGTAAACAATTTTATTGCTTTGTTTTTTATTTTACTATGTTTAAACTCAAGAAGTCTTGAGGTATTTTTTTGTTTTGTTTATAATATATCAACACTAGCCAGTGATTAACAGAATCGGTATAACATTCAACATTCTAAAATTATTAAATAATAATAATTTTTTAAATTTTATCAACTCTCTTCTTAATAAATTCAGCACTATATATTTATAGATTTATCTGTGATCTTACTACTCATATTACACAAATAAATCAAAAAGTATTAAGTGCTTTGTAATTTTAGCAGTTGAATGAAAATTTAAAATTATATGCCAAGGATGACCAAACCTTATCATAATAAGAGCCATACACTGCCTATTGGAAATAAATGAGAGCCACATCATCTATTTATAGTATTTTAACTATAGAAAAGTGATTAACTATATATTATATGTATCATAGTAAATACCACTATTTAATGATTGAAGGAGTAACATATCATAAAGTTGGGTCAGGTAGGGGTACATTCATAAAATTAGAATTAAGTTTCAGTTAAGCTTTCAGTTGTATATTTAAAATTAAGTTGCAAGTTATGCTTTATGACCTTTGTGTATATTACATTATGTAATACACATAAAAGTTTTGTAAGTTTTCTGGCTATGTAGTATATACCAAGGTTATAAAAAGAAATTAGGAGCCACAATAAGGGTCTAGAAAAGCTGCATTGCAGCTTTTCTAGACCCTTATTGTGGCTCCTAATTTCTAGACCCTTATTGTGGTGGCCAAACTGTGGCTTGCTAAGCCACAGTTTGGCTACCACTGTTTATATACAGTGCTTTAATGAATATTAAAATTATTATATTTCAGCTCTATCAAACAAGCAAACTAATGAAATTCATAAAATATACTAGTCATTTTCTATTAAATTTTATTTTAAGAAAATTGCTTGTAAATATAAAATCAATTGAGTAAAATCTTTTCTAAATTACTTTTTCAGCTTTACCCAAAATAGACTTCGCCCAGTCGCTTGTCCTCGATCGCCAGAAGCAGTAGTTTCACTTCCCTCTTCCCATTCGTCTACAAATACCACTACTCAATGTAATTCAACAATGACAAGGAATACAATATATTGGTCAACAAAATTCTAAAATGATGTATAAATGGACTTAAAGGAGAAGTGCCTGATATATTTAAATTCTCAATCATTAACTGTTCATATCATTTTTAAATAGAAATGTAATTCATATTTCAGTAGATCGCTAAAGAAGAAAACAATCTGTATTAACTGTGATGCCGAAAATATCAGTGCTGTTTTATACAAATAAATAAGAAATTTCATGCTAGTCATATCTCATAAGACAGATGAAGTCATTACAGGTATCTATTTTTAGTATAAAATTCATAATTCCCTAAAAAGTGCCAAAATTTCAGGATTATCATCAATGTTAACTACATAATGAGTGTTGCAAAAGCCTTTCTTCTAAAGGTAATAACTTCTGTAGAAATGGTGATATATCTGTATATTAAATGGATCTGTTATCAGCAGCAAAAATGGTTTTGGACTTTATTTTTTTGAAGGTAGCAATTAACCAGGCATAAAATAAATCTCATTCCAAATATCAATAAGTAATCTACTTTTTATCTTCTAAGAATAGTTCAATTCCAGTTTTAAGTATTGTAAATTGTTCTTTCTGTCTCTAGCCAACATAAGAATTATGTTTTTAAACAGCAGCTGATATTAATAGTGCAAAACAACATTCCAGACTGTATCAGTTCTGTTGTCTGTTGAAATAGATGTAATACTCATTTCTAGGCAAGTTATATAAAAATAATTCTCCTAAAAACACACTAATCTAATTTGAGGTTGAGTAGTCAAGTAGTTTGACATTACCTAATTTAGTAGACAGATACATATCCATTTCTCTAGAAGTTATTTCATTAATGAATGTTAAAAATTCATGAAAAGCTAAGTCAATTAAGATCTTATTTATATAATATGCATTCTTCATCATTAATAAAGTCTCATATATAGTAATAAAATTTTTGTTTAATTGCCTTGTGAATAATTTATGAATGGTTTATTCAATAAAAGTTCTTTCCTTTTAAATTAATGTTTTTGTATTCAAACAAATAAGAATACTTTGAAAGGATAGATTTTTCTTATTTTTCAAGTTTATTTTTATTATTATTTGCTTAAGAGTATTAAAATTTTATTTTTGACATGTTGAAAACTTTTTGATGCCTTTGATCATCTTCATTAAAATAATAGCTAGAGTGCAAATCACAAATTATAATTTATTTATAACAGCATTCATATAGATTTTTTTTAAATATTATTTTTACAAACTTGGTAAGGATTAAATTCAAATTTTGATGTTCTGTTGGTCTACAGGAATTGATTAAAATTTATTTAATTTTGAACATTTAGAGGTCTTTTTTTAAGAATTTATATATTAAGGTAAGAGATTCAATTAAATCTAGATATTAAAATTTAATATAACGTTCTTAATAACTTTTAATTCTCTAAAAATTAAGTATCATTATACTCATGCTTTACTTTCATAATTATTATTTTGTTTTAATTTTTTCAATGTTGATTTAAAAACTACATTGAAACTGTTGCTAAATATTAAACACACATTATCAAATCTTAAGTTTTTCTCATTGATATTTACAATTTATATACAGAATTTTCCTTTAATTTGAAATACACATTGTATTTAATACTTTTACTTAAAAGTTTAATTTATTCATGCTCTGAAATCTAAAATATGTAATATCAAATCCAGAGCATGGCAGTGAATTATACAAATATTTATAATAATAATAATTAAATTATGAACAGTTTTTCTTTCTTAATCTTCACATGATGATTATATATAAGAATATTCCTTTAACTAATTTTGTAAAATATTGACATTCTTTTTCAAAAATTCACTAAGTTTGTGAGAAGTTTTATAGTTACTTTATACTGATAACAACATGTACTGTACATGGTATGTCTAATAAGTCTTATTTTGTTGTTTTCATTCTAACATTCAATGAAGATACATAGGAATTACTTTTATTGGTCTTCAAAGTACTCTCCATGAGACAAGCCATTGTTCAATTGCTGTTTGATGCTACCTATTTATTACACAAAGTGTGCTTGAATGACTGAAGTAGAAGCCCACTTGTAACCATGCATATTCCACACTAAAAGGTGCTTCTAGACATGTCTTTGGATGTATGCATTGCATTCAAGATATTCCACCACTGAACATTTTAGACACACCACATATATTTTAGCTATTTCTTGCTTTTAATATAAGAAGCATTCAGCTGCTTATTACTAATATTTTTACTGATATAATATTTTTACTGATTTAAAGATGTTTGATTTGTAATGAAGCTTACAGAATAGAATTTAAAAATATCTATATTTTAAGTATAATTGATGATGATTACTATAATTTAATTAATAATCTGAGTAATTATAGTCATTGATATTTTTTCAAAACTGTATAAAATTGTATTAGTTAAATTTCATTGATTACTATAAACCATCAGATCAATTTAATCAAAATGAATTTCTAGTATTATAAAATATACTAGGAAATTCAAGTTTTAATAAAATTTAGGTGAAAAAAAGACTTGATAGAATAATATATTGTTTAACAATGGTTATTATTGGAGACTTAAATTGCTCTTCATAATTATTAGAATCAAAGAACAATATTTTTTCTCAAGACTAGTTTGAAACTATATGTACAAGATATTACTACAAATTTATTTTTTGCCCTATGACTTTCACTAAATTTGATATTGCTAATATTCTCAATTTTAACTATAAACTTTGGCATTTTACTCATCCAACTCTTGACGAGTAAAAAAAACACATTATTATTTTTTTTTGCATAAATATTTTCTTTGTTATCACAACAGGTTTACTAATGGAAGCATAGATAAAATAGACAAGCAAATCAGAAACTTTCTATGTTGTAAAATCCTGAAAAGGAAAATAATTACTCTACAAACAGAATTTGATTGATCAAAAAAAAATTAAAACAGACACCTATTCATTTAAGATGGACACTATAGAGCTGAAAGTTTTATAGAATTTTTATCAAAACAGGTTTTTAATGCAATAAACAGTACAAGTACTATTAACAAAAGCACCACATATTAGATGATAAATGTAAAAGATATAAGTGACTAGTATATATTAATTTCTAGTCCTTTTCAAAATTTTTTTCCAAAGAGAATTATTGAAATTAGAAAATATTTGTCATCCATAAATTTAATATTTATACAGTTAAAATTAATTTTTCTTTCTTACAATACATATGATAAACCAATTTAAAGATATCTTCAAAACCATTGTATAGTAAATATTAAAAAATTCAATAGAAACTGGTTGGAGATTAACGGACTATTTATGTACAAAAACAATATTAAAAATGTTTATTTTCAGGATGTCAACACACTCTGTTAGAGCAGAAATTTAAATTCATTTATTTTTTCTGAATATTAGTTATCTTAGAAAACAAATTTCCTAATAATTTTAAAAGACATTAAATGGTACATACAAAGTTTTAGCAGTCTTCTTGCAGAAACTTTGTGCAATGTTAACCAAATTCTAACTTCAATAAATAATAAACATCAACAGAATTACACACACTATCATATTTTAAATGTTTGCAATTCTTTTGAATTATAACTAATACATTATGTTATTAAACTGAAACAGATAGTTGAAATTTTGTTTGAAAGTATATACAAATTATGTAGTTTAAAAGTATTTTGCAAAATATTTGTCCTAATTCACGGTTTTTAGAATTTTACCATATCAATGGTTTAAATTGTGAAAATGACTTGATTTTATGGTAAAAAATTTTCTATTCAGTATAATAATGATGAAACAACTTTTTAATTATATGTATCATTAACTATAAACAACTTTAATAGGAATAATTTAAAATGACAATATTTTATACATGAATAATGAATTCTATAACGCAGAAGAGATAACCTTGATTCTTACCTGGAAATTTCATTTTTTTTCTATAATAATCTTAAGCTTTTTCTGTATAAATAGTTCAATTTTCTAATACAATATAATACAAATTTTTTTCTAAACATAAAATTCTTAAAATATGTGTATATATTTGGTTTCTACAAGCAAACATTTATATACATGAAATTAATTCTAACAAAAAGTGCTCCATTTGACACATTATGGAAGGTGTGTGTATATTTATATATATATATATCACAGTCTTATAACTACTTACTTTGACATGTCTCCAAAGTTTGAATATGTATTTTATCACAGAACATTCCATTTGTAAAAACACTAGATTAGAGAATATTGAAATGATGATTAATGATATATAAGTTTCAAACATTTAACAAAAAATGAAACAAAGTAAGATGTTTTTATCTTGAAGTTTATTCAAGCATCAAGATGATTCAGAAGTAGGATGAAGTAACAAATTCTCCAATTCTTGTTGTTTTAAAAGTAAACCCTGAAATAAAAATGATGAGATACAATTTATAAAATATTACATTTCATTTTTTTTAAAAGAATTTCAAAATGAAAAATACCTGTCGCAAAGAAGAAAGTTGCATAAGTATTTTATCCTGTCTTGGAGTTGGCCGTCTAGTAACAATTTCTGGGTGAACAAGCGGATCCTTCAAATACAGTTAAAATTATTATTAATACAAAAATTCTGGATGAGTTTATAATTCATTAGATGGTTGAAATTTTTTTTTAATTGTATAGTAAAATCTTTATGATATGAAATGTTAATGTGAACTTCTGATTTTATGAAATGTTATACAGTAGTATAAGTGGATGTAAAGGCAGTATCTACTGTAATTTATTAAAAACTGAACAGAAAATTAAATTATTTTACATTCTCAAACATTTTTGCATTTAAAAATTGATTGTTTCAGAAAATAAGTTATTTAGGTTGTATTTGGTTCCTTCAAATGAAATAGAGACTCAGATGTGCTATGTGATTTATTGTATGGATATAGACACTGTACACGCAACACTGAACATCTTGCTCACTCATTCAAAGGTATATCCTCTTCACCTTTACAATGGCACCCTACTCTTCCTCAATATTGTCAGTGTTGTCACTACAGTCTACATTTCATTTGAAGAAACAAAATAAAAATAGAATTCTCCTACATTAATTTGATTATAAAAATTATTTTTATGATGCTGAATATAAAATATAATATTTAATATATGTTTAAAGAAAATTGTTATATAATTTGATATTTTATACATAAAATGAATATCAACATTAGTAAAATAATCCATAAAAATGAATCACAAACTCTTGAACTTTGGTTGATTCAGAATAAGTATGTGAATGAATGATAATTAATTCACTTTCAGACTTAGTATTCTCTATCAAGGATTAAGAGTCAAACAACTTAAATAAATGTTCACAAAATTTCAAAATCTGTAATTATGTCAGTAATTTAACTGGTTTTAACTTTTCTGAAGATAATATATTCTTTAAAATGGTCAAGACTATCATGTAACAGCTTGTTTTCGGCAGTAAATATCATAAAAATTGTAGTAAATTGCAGCAGTAAACATTTGGTACAATTATTAGTTTGCACTGCCATATTTTGTGTGTACTTTCATTTTAAAATTATATTCTTATCATTTCTGAGTCTTTTGTAGATGGACAATTTTCTTAAATAAGTCATTAATAATCATTTACTACTACAAAAAACACACTATTATTCATAAGGTAGTCACAAAAAAAAGAACCAACATTTTTTATAAAAATGCATTCCAAAAGAAATACAGAAAATAATGAATGAGACAATCTGATTATTAAATAAAATATGGTCAACTTTCTTCACATTCAGTAACTATGCACAAAGAATATTTTTTGTACATTCATATCATGAGATGTTCACAATTATACCATCTATATCATGTGGTTCATATGAGTAAAGTTGAAATATCTGAAAGCTGTTTTGACTTATCCAGAAAGTTATTTCTGCCCTGCAATAATTGATGGAAAAAATGCATAAAAAAAGAACCAAGTATTTGCATGACTAAATTTTTTGGGCATTACAAAAGAAAGCAGCATCAAAATTATTCACAATTATTAGTTAAGTAGATATGTCTAAGAAAAAATCTCAGGGCAAAGAATGTTTTTCTATATATTTGTATATTATTTAGAAACAATAAATGATTGATGGCACATTGGAGAATCAATAGAATGGAAATACACATTATAACAAAAACTTGGATTACAATATTTCTAAACAAATATTTTTAAATGAGCTATCTCAAGATAATGATGTCTTTTCATACTAACTGCAATTTGTGTTTAATTAGCCACAAATATCATCAGTCTTAATAAATATTTTGCTTTAAACAAAACTATTAATAAAATTTAATTTATCATTTAATTACTTATATTGTTATTTTCTCTTAGCTGTTGTTAAATTACTGCATTAACATAAGTGAAGTAAGAAATGCCAGGAACAATGACATAGAAAGCACGTCACACAAAATTAATAAATTAACTGTTGATATACATTTTGGATGAATTGCTATTAATTAATTTAGAATATAAAAAACCAAAAATTCCACTAATTAGTTGGTTAAGTGAGGGTATCATCAATATAATAGGTAAGTGTTTTTTCTGTTCTGTAATATGCTTATTTAAATTTGTCTTAGCTGCCAACACACATTAAAGTATTGCCTTCTTGTTTTTCTAACAGTGTGCTACATATGCCTGATCTGTCTACTTTCTCGTTAGTTCCAGGATTACAACATAATCTGCAAGGTGCAAGCAAAAATATCACCAATAACAAAAAGGAAGATTCTTACACCATTTTAATAATTTATGTTAAGCTACTCACAGAGGTTTGTGGGGTTGAACAAGAAGCACAACTTCTTTCTTCCAGTGTTAAGGTACACAGGACCATTAAAGAGGCATAACATACAAAATGATATCAGCTTTAGCCATCTTAGCATCAGACAAAAATTACTAACCAAAATGGGATGAAGCAAAGCTTTTATTTACACTATAAAATCAAAGAACCTTATTCTTGGCAGAAGCTTTATATATATTAAAACATCTAAGGTGTGTAATGTTTTCACATTCAAAATATCAAATATATATAAAATCATTTACTTTTTATGCAAAAATATTGTGAAAAACTAGTTTTGCAGTCTATTTTTTATGAATATTTAAACCATTCAAACCTAAGCATTTGAATTTTATTTGTTTTAGAATAGCATCAACTGTTCAAGTTGTATATAAACAAAAGTGCTTTTAATTTATTATTTGTATAAAGCTATAAAAAATATGAAGCCATGAACTATTTCAATTATGTGAACTGCTTTGAGAGAATGCACACAAATTTTGTCTTATAATTTGGTTTGTTTTTTCATAAGGTTTTAACAGTGATTATAATGACACACACAGTATAAATGATATTATTAGCTGCTTTAAAGCAAGATTTAAAAATTCATAATTCACTCCAGGAAACATTGGAATTTTTTTACAGTTGTGCCAGATGCAATTTTCATTTGTACATTATCTATTGCAAATTGTATTGTTCAAATTCTTGCACATTATTAATATTATAAAATATTAGTGACTATTTTGGCCAATAGATTTAATCCCTTAACAATTAAAATCTCACTCCACATTTATGAAAGGTGCTTTTGTACTGTACCTAGTTACCAGACAATTTGCAAATAATAAGAATCAAAGAAATGAAAAAACTGTTAGTTGGCATTAGACAAGACTAATGTAATGTTGAAAGTGGTTTTGAATGTTTTCAGGTGATGTAAAACATATCTGGAACACACAAAATTTGAACAGATTTGTCAGCATATTCAAAAAAAGAATTCAGAAAGGAACATTGTACAGTACATTAAACCTGTGTTTCAAATACAAAGTATTTTGAACATTTTGAGTAGAATTATACCATAATTGAACAATGTTTGAATATTTTTAAATTTTAGTTTTTTTCAGGACTTGTTTAAATATTTTTAAATTTTATTTCTGTAGAAATGTCCTAAAAAAACCTAGGGTTTAAAAATATTTAATCATATGTTCCATTATAGTGTAATTCTATTCAAAATGTTTAAAATATCAAATATGTTAAGCACGTGTTTTAAACACAATGTTTCTTTCTGAATTATTTTTAAAATATGTCAATGAATTTGTTCTGAAAACAACATTAACACAATGTTGAAAGTTCTCAAGTCTTGTTTAATGACAACTGACAGTTTATTTTTTGATTCTATTACAATCTTGGCATATTGTGTGTTATTAAATTTAATGTAATAAAGAATCAATATTAGATATCTTTTTCAATTTTGAGGAGAGATTTGTCACAAAGTATGTCAAATACATCATTCAATTTTGATTAATATAATTAAGTCATTATTTGCTAAATATAGCATTACAAATGTTCAATACAATAACATAGCCAAGTGTCTTTGTAAGAAGGCATGAAAAATAATTTTGTAGATAAACTGAGACTTATATGTATATAAATATTATTTGACATTTACAGAACTATATAAATATAATTTTTTACTACAATTTTTATTTTGGTCAAGAAGAGCAAATGACTCTGAATATATCAATAGTTCAATATACTAGATGTTAAAGACTGACCAAACTTTGAAATGTAATAGTGCAAGGAAAAATAAGTATAATTAGAAAAAACGTTAGTAACTCAAAACACTTAGTTTGAGATAAAGAGGGGTTAATTTTGATGTTTTTTAAACTATAAATTTAGCACATAGTATTTTGTTATTTTTGTTGTTCATATCTGTAGATAACATATATATACTGAAACCTGATGCTTAGCAAATAGATACCCACAACTGCTGTAAATAAATGGGCTATAATTTGGAAATATTAATTATGAATTATAAATAAATTTGGCACTAGAGGGAGGTGTTGTGTGCCATCTCATATTAAATTTAATAATTATAATATTTAATTAATTAATTTAGAATAAACGGGAAGAAAAGAATCGGCTTGAAATGAGACTCAAACCCTCAACTCCTGCTTACTGTGCAGACACGTTGCCAGTTACGCTACACAGACCTTCGTCAAATCTCCTCTTCCAGTATATATAAGCCTAATGTATAACCATCGCCAGTTAATAGGGTGGCAACTGGGAACACACCCGTGCCCTTGGCCAGAAACATCCACTCAAAAGCACTCAGTAGGCCATTGCATACCCCGGCAAGGCAAAGATATACAGATATAAACATTGGGAAGAGTTGCGGGAGTTGTGGGTTCGAGTCCCGCTTTGGGCCGATTCTTTTCTTCCAGTTTATTCTAAATTAATTAATTAAATATTATAATTATTAAATTTAATACGAGATGGCGCCTAACACCTCCCTCTAGTATCAAATTTATTTGTGATTCGTAATTAATATTTCCAAATTATAGCCTGATTATTTACGGCAATTGTGGATGTCTATAATTTTTGTCTGTAATGTCTGTAATTTTTGAAGATTTAAATTATTTTATTAGCATACTGTATTTTGTTGTAGGAGTCAGAAAATCTAACATAAACACTATGTGTTCCATGATAAAACTGCAATAGCAAGTTTCTATGCTAAATCCCATATAGATTAAAAAAGCATCAACATTTATTAGTTTTTTTGGTGGCAT